GGCGGCATTGCTTCACGACAGAGCGCCCTGCATATAGGCCTTCGCAACTCAACGCCTTCTTAAAGACAACGAGATCGACTTTTTCTGAAACGACGAATGGCCCGGAAATTCACCTGACTTCATTGTTTTTGACCAAGGACTATATATAGACCTTGTTTGTGAGCACGTGGTAGAAGGAGCAAGTCGGTGGAAGGAAATCATTTAAGAACACTCCTCATACATATATATATATATATATATATATATATATATATATATATATATGTGTGTGTGTGTGTGTGTGTGTGTGTGTGTGTGTGTGTGTGTGTGTGCTTGTGTTTGTGTACATGTATATATATACATGTATACACACACACACACACACACACACACACACACACACACACACACACACACACATATATATATATATATATATATATATATATATATATATATATATATATTTATGTATATATATATATATATACATATATATACACACACATATGTGTGTGTGTGTGTGTGCGTGTGTATGTGTGTGGTTTTATATACTTACACACACACACGCAGACTCACACTCACAAGCACACACACACACAAACATACACGCGCGCGCGCGCATATATAGAAGGATAGGTATAGATAAATAAATAAATAAATAAATAAACAGGTGAATGAATATAATTATATATGCTAATGTATATACAGTATACATATATGTACATAGTTGACGATATATCTTGCAACATATTCTGAAACATTCAAAAGCAAATTCAGCTTATCACCAAAGTTCATCCGTAATGGTTCATATGATTTAAAGCACTGTATCATACTAGCCAATAAATAAATATCATAATAAGTTACACAAATAGAAATACCTTGAGACGAAAGGAGAGAGAAAAAAAAGTCGGGAGAAAGTCGGAACTTACAGCCAGTCACACAGGATCCTGTTCATATGATTTACACCACAATATCATTCTATCAAATAAACAAACAAACATAATAATTCATAGAAATAGAAATACCTTAAGAAACAACATAATAATTCATATAAATAGAAATACCTTAAGAGGAAGAGAGAGAGAGAGGGGGGAAAAAAAGTCGGGAGAGAGTCGGCACGTTTAGCCAGTCACACAGGATCCTCTCGATGGGCCAACACGCAACATTTATCTTTTTATTACACTTTAATAAAAATGAAACAGTTGCGTAAAGATATCGATAAAGATGGCCGTGGGTGAGTATGGGAAGGGTCTGGGCTTTGTTTGACACCGATGGAATGAGACGTTAAGGCCTATGTTGTCGAGGAAATAAGCGAGATCTTTTTTGTTTTTTTTTTGAGGGAAGTTTCATCTTTTGTTTATTTTTTTAAAACGGTATTTTTTTTCCTATTTCTCGTTCTGTATTTTCCTCTCGATTTTTATTCATATTTTTCCTTTTTTTGTTGTCCGTTGGTTCTGTGAGTGTATTTGTTTGACAGGGATCTGTGAAATTTTAGAACATTTAGTGTTTTTTTTTCCCAGACGAGCATGGACGAGCTGTCATATTTATTATTATATTGGTATATAGATTTGGTTCTTGATATTCTCTGCGACGCGTATAAATCTCTGGAATCAAAGGCGGGGAAGGAAATCCCGCGGAAATTTTGTTTAATAAACGGTTGATTTATTTCTTCGTGAGTGTGTGGTCTGTTCGGTCCTATTTTCCGCAATCCTTTGTCTTTTCTTTGCAGGTGTGAGTCGATTAGGATTATTGTTGTTATCTCATAAGTTCGGCATTTATATTGTGCATGTTAGAACGTGTTCTAGAAGATTAGGTGAAAAAACAGCTGTTCAAATTTTTCTTCTTATCTTTTCTGTCTTCCATCTGGCTTACTCTTTGGTGTTTGCTTATTGCAAAGGTATCGCCTGCATTTGCTATTTAACCCCCTTAGGTTGAAATATGGCAATCGTAGGTCTTAGAAGTGCAGGCACATTGGACGAAGTGCGGCCTTCCAAAATGTCCCAATGAAATGGTGTGTAATTATTGTCTGAGAAATTAGGTCATTATGTGTGCTCTGGCTTTTGCTGTGTGTCAAACTTTATTGCGACATATTGCGATGGTAATTTTAGGTGAGAGAGAATAAAAGGAAGCATAGGGGCTAAAGTCATTAAATTTTTGGTTTTTGTGTCTGTGAAATGGAGAGAATACGGGAGAAGGAAAATTACAAGGGAATTATCACGAGAAATGAATATCATAGAATGGAGAATTTACATAAAAGTGTGAGATTGAACTTATGGAATTTTAAAAGATGGTGCAAACAGCTGGAAAATCTGACTACAGATTTGAAATCGTCCTGTAATTTCCGTGACCCTTAAGCCTTTTGGGTTTAGTGGTCTTTAGCAACGAAAGACCACTAGCGACCTTAGTAGATTTGATAATTTACCGTTTGTTAAAGAATTCAGTCATGTACCTCTGTCATAGCATTGGTGTAAGAGGTTGTTGTAAGATGTGAAAAGGATTTGTAATATATTTTTTAGGTTATGGAAATGTTTTGTGAATTAGAGTCCTTTAAATGTGAGAGCTCCTGTTCAGCAATTTCAAAAGCACATATCTTCCCATTCTGATAATTAGTATTGTCTCCACAATATACCGTGTTTTGGGTCGGCAAAAAAGGCAAGAGGAACCATAGCTTAGCCTTTGTCATGCTAAATGCCATATACCCACTGTAAAGGATTGTATATTTCCACTGAAAGGAGGCAGGGAGAATGCTCTACTGTTCTAGAACATGCAGCTGGTAAGAATGCTGTGTGTGCCAAGAATGTTGGGAGGGGAAGGGGCAGGGGGGAGGAGGAGAAGAGAGGGGAGAGAGGAGAAGGGGGAGGGGGAGAGGAGAAGGGGAGGGAGCACTCGTAAACTCCCATTAGTGTGAAGGGGTGTGGCCATTCGAGGGATGATTAATGGCAGGAATATGTGTGAAATATTTGAGGAGAAAGAAGTGCCTCTTTTTTGCTTGAATGTGGTCTTGCATCTTTGGCTTAGAATGATATTGTTGAGTTAAAAGATGGAAATAGACATTTGCGATGTACAGCGAGCTAGAAATATTGAGATAAAGAAAGAGAAAGGTAGAGATATACAGGACATTTTAGCTTGAAAACCTTTGCTGAATTAAAGATCTTATCAATGACATTCTTCTGATGCTTGGAACTAGCTGTTCATACACACTGAATAATCTCTATTTAAATGCCATTGATTCACTTTTAATTGGTTGCCTATTGAATGTAAATGCTTAAATAAATGTTAATTTGCACGTATAGGGTTGTATAACTGGAAAAAGTTCAGGTAGATGTTTTGCAGACGCTTTGACTGGCTTCCAAATAGGACTTGCCTTTTATGAAATTTGTGTTGGTTTCTCCCTCTAAATCTTTGGGAAACTAGCTTTGACCCGCGATGGAAGACCTTCAACAGTGTAATGCTATGGGATTAAGTAGTTGCCTTGCTCGTCACATTATGCGCATCAAATTTGTGTGAGTGAGTGAGTGAGTGAGTGAGTGTGAGAGTGAGTGAGTGTGAGAGTGAGTGGGTGGGAGTGGGAGAGTAAGAGTAAGAGTGAGAGTGAGAGAGAGCGAGAGTGTGAGTGAGTGAGTGAGTGAGTGAGTGTGAGAGTGAGTGGGTGGGAGTGGGAAAGTAAGAGGAAGAGTGAGAGTGAGAGAGAGCGAGAGAGTAAGTGTGTGAGCAAGTACTTGTGTGAGTGAGTGAGAGAATTCAGTTACCACTCATAAATTATTTAGTCTAACACCTCCTCCCCAACACAGCAAGATGGTGCTGGTACCTGACGAGGAGGAGGACATGTGGCACGCCTACAACATCATCAACGAAGGCGACTGCCTGCGCACCACCACCACTCGCAAGGTCCAGCAGGAGTCTGCCACCGGCTCATCAACCTCCTCACGTGTTCGCACCACCATAACCATCCAGGTGTTGGACATCCACTACGACACTTCTGCGTGCTTGCTCAGGTAGGGTGGCAGGTTGCAGGGCTGGTTTGCTGTTTAGAGCGGCGTTGAGGTTTCCAGGAGTGTGTGAATAGATTTTTTTTTTTTTTTTTTTTTTTTTCATGAATGATGTTTGTTGTTTATTAGAATTTTAATGTATCTCTCCATATGAAATTCATACTGATTGCAGAAACTAACACCGAGAAGTATGTACTCGCTCCACTTTTAAAAATCAGTTACTGCATGACATCAAAAGGAAACTATCACATGAATTACTCAGCCAAATAATCACCCCACCACACTACCCCCCCACACAGGGTCAAGGGCCGCAATGTGGAGGAAAACCAGTACATCAAGATGGGCGCCTACCACACGGTGGACCTGGAAGCCAACCAGAAGTTCACGCTCTTCAAGGAACACTGGGACTCGGTGACCCTGGAGCGCGTTGACAATGCTTGCGACCCAGCCAGGGTGAGTGCTGGTCCTCCTTGGGCTTATTTCTGTCGTGGGGTTGTGTTGAGGTTGGGGTTGTGGGAAGTTTCTTTATCTTAGGGCAGTGGTTCCCAACCTTTACATGTTTGTGACCCACTTATTAAAATTCTGACACATCTAAATTCCTCTGACATCATTTATAGGCAAAAGAAGAGAAAGAGGTTGCTTGTTCAGTCATCTATACAAGCTTTATGTATCCAGTTGTAATGGTCTATAATATTTGAAAACATGGTATATCATGATGTGAATAAAAGTGCCCAAGCAAATTTGCTTGCAATATTTTTCTCAAGGCTATCTGGCCTGCTAGCCCTCTTACTCTCCCTCTCTCCCTCGCTCCCTCTCTCCCTCTCTCCCTCTCTCCCTCTCTCCCTCTCTCCCTCTCTCCTCTCCCTCTCTCCCTCTCTCCTCCCTCCCTCTCTCCCTCTCTCCCTCTCTCCCTCGCTCCCTCTCTCCCTCTCTCCCTCGCTCCCTCGCTCCCTCTCTCCCTCTCTCCCTCTCTCCCTCTCTCCCTCCCTCCCTCTCTCCCTCTCTCCCTCTCTCCCTCTCTCCCTCCCT